GGAGCCAAATCAGTTGAAGGAATTGTTATTGAGCAGCTCACACCTTTGGCAAATATTTTCGACTCGCTCTCTCTCTCTCTCTTTCTCTCTCTCATTCTACTGTGTGAGTGTTTGAGTATAATAATACAATACAAGTATATTCATTAGGCGGGTTCAATGCACTGCTTAAAGTCAAACAAAACGACAGAACTGAAATATTGTTGTTGTTGAACAACACATGTAAATTTGTCAAATGGCTTGCCGTTGTTGTTGCTGTTGTCCGCTGCCACGCCCCATGTCAGCCTCAAATGGCACAGGGCAAACAAAAGTCTGATTAATTTGACACTGAACCTAAAAGCCTGGCACGCAGGCAATCGCAATCGGATACCACAAAAAAAAAAAAAAAATATATATATATATATAAAATGAACCCTCGAAAAATTTGAGTTGAAATTTATGTAGCTGGAACCCTCGGGTGGTTGGCTGCACTTTTTGGCAAATTTTGAATTATGACTTTAAAATAAAAAAAAAATTCAACAAAAAAACTTGCGAAAAAAAAAAGTTTAATTCAATTTTGTCCGAGCAGACGGCAATGCGCAAGCAATTCGCGTGGGCGTTCCGAAAATGGGCAAACATCAAGTGTTTTTAAATGCCAGTCGCAAATAATCATATATAGTACACACATATAATGTAAGTGTATATATATTTATATAGTATATGGCATCTGGGCATATGGTCAAGCGGCGTTTGCGTGCCCGAAAAAGGCCGGCACGAAAAAAAATAAAATAAATAAAAATAAAAAAATAAGCGTACAGAAATGATGAAGGCAACCGGCCGGGCGTTGACTTCGACTGGGCGCGGAAGCGCGACCGGGAGCTGGAGCGGGACTGGGAGCGGACTGCGAATCGGCTCTGAGACAGACCTAAAGCTTGGCTTTATCAAAAAGAGCTGGCACTCAGCGCGAAACCACTCCAGACAATTTCACTACGGCATTGCGGTCACGTTCTCCTTTCCAAACGAAACGCAGAAAATACAAAGCAAAGATGTACAAATACGAAAAGTGCAGTCGGCAATAACCGACGGCTTAATACTCGCTCAGCAGCGCCAAGAAGTACAAGGAAAAAATCGAGTTAATCTTGTAAGAAATGGATTTAGAATCGTAAACTTCTAGTTTTATTTCTGGAAACTACACAAATACTTTCAAATTGCCATACTATAATAACCTATATAAAACTTATCCAGTCAATGTTTAAGGTAGGGCATCAGTTAACCACATGAGTTGACCATGAGTGCCCGCTTTAACTATGCTTTAGCCAAGTCAAATTTCAGCTTCTTTACCTGAATAGGCAAGCATAGCCAATATACCAATATACCCAATATACTCACATATTTTACTTCATGAGCGTGTATTAAAAATTAAAAACAAAAATTGTATTTATTTTTGCGTTTCTCCCTCTTTTGCATTAATTGTTTTATTCGCCGAAAATTTGCTTATGCAAAGAAACACAAAATAATAATATTATTTTCAATTATGTATGCGCTTATCGCAATGGGAAGTGCAAAACTGTACACACACAGACACATACACACCCACTCACACCGACACACATGCGGGTACTCGCAAATCAATCTCACACTCACTTATGCAGCTGGCAACTCTGGCCTACTGACAGCGCACTTGAACTTGTCAACTCTGGCGCTGGCATTGCCACAACTTTGACTGCAGTCACGATACGAAAATAATACAAATAATAAATAAATGCAATGCACTTGAGCGTTTGTCGTCGTTATTGTTGGCAACTCTCTTTTATATTTATATATATATATATATAATTTTTTTTTTTTTTGCCAATTAGAAATCAAAAAAATTTTGCTATTTGCTTGTAAATAATGCGCATTTCTAATAAGTCGGCGAGCTTTTGTTTCAACCTTCATCGAGCAATTGGCAGTATCTTAATGCATCTATACACTATTTCAGCTTAATTTATGCAATTGCACATAGAAATAAATAATAGACATAAAAAAAGTGAAAAACAAACAAACCTGGCTAAAATGAGCATTGTCACAAAGCCAAACTGAGCTCAGCTACAGTTGGCCTATAATTGCGACTAGAATATGCCTTAGAATAATATATAAAATATTTAGATAAAGTTATAAGAAGGGAAAATTTTTTTAAAAATTTCTAATTAATTGTGTGATTTTTTTTTATTTTTTTATTTTTTGTATTCTTTTTTTTTATAAATTATTTTATTCAATTAAAAATATCTTGTAAATTCTATTTCTATTTTTATTTCTATGTCCAATAACAGCCGCCCTTAACAGTGCTACCTAACAGTCTGTTAAGCTTAACATTTAACATCTTCGTTGCGTTCGCTTTTGATATAAACAAATGAAATTGTCATCGCGGCTAAGTTGTTTGTATTTTGCTTTATTGCGTCATTGTCTGGCTAAAATTGGCTTAAAATAACTCAACACGTCAGCTATACAAAGCAACAACAGCAACAATAACAACAGCTACAGCAGCAGCAACAAAAAGTAAAAAGCGATGCCGTCGTTTTCTGTTGCTGTTCGCCTTCTTAAGCCCTCAATTCGCCGCGTATTTGTCAAATATAAACACAAGCACAGTGCGAATTCATTTCAAGTGAACTAATTAATTTCAAGGGCACTTCAACTTTCGCCCGAGAACTCAACATAAATCACATTGTCAATTGTTGAATAATATATTATTAAATTGCTAAATGTTTGTTTAATTATTGTCTGCACTTGCAGTGTTTGCACTAGCCAGTAATTACTGTAGCTACTCAGTCTGCGTTTAGTTGACTTACATTCGCTTATCAAGCGCGCCCATGTAATCAAATTTTGTAGTAGTCAACTTCGTCAATCGTCGCATTAGTCAGCGAATTGAATGCGCGTATATTGAGCAGTATAGCACACTGTGAGACCAAGGGATACCCTGTAGATTAAGTGAGCATTTGGGAGGTAGTATGGGAACAGTTCAAATAGCTGAATGAGTTCAAGTTTAAATCAGTATTATATTCTATATATTCTAACTTCTCCTAAGACTTCTCTCTTCTCAGTCCCCCTCTCACTCTTGTCATTTGGTATTCCATTAGCTAATTATTCAATTAGTCCATGCTGCCACACTCTATCAGTCTCATGCTCTTGCTATCCCCCTCTCTCTCTCTCTCTCTCTCTCTATAATTATGCTCTCATTCTCATTATCTTTATGCCCCCTCTATTTTTATGTTGAAAGAGTACCACTAATACACCCAACTTTATGCACATATTCGAGGGTATTTTCGACGTCAGCGTGTGGTTTTATTTCCACTCGCCTCTCGCTCAATTGACCCCTCCGACCTGAACTTCGGCACCGTCGCCCTGATAAGAATAGTTTTTCGCTGCGTCGAGCAAGCTCGTTTCAATTTAGACAATTACGATTACGGCGAGAGCTCCATACTATGTATATTATTGTTATTATTATATATTTTTAATTCAAGTAAATTGGCTGATTCATCTGCAAATGGGTTCTGCGAAAAGTGAAAAAAAAGGAAAATAAAGCAGACAACATTTGCGTTCATTAAATTTTCAATTTATTTCTGTTTGCTTTTTATGCAATATCCCAAAACGAAAAAAAAAAACAAAAAAACAAAAACAAAATCTTTGTCACTTTGGGAAAGTGGGTTAAAACGAAAGTCGCAAATGTTTAAACATTTATGCAAACAAAAACAAGCGGTTTACTTCAAAAATAAAAAATAAGACCCAAAGTCAACAAAAACACAATGAATAAATTTTATTGTTGGCTCGCAAATAAACGAGTTGAAGGAAATGCCGAGAGATAAGTCAAAGGATCAATGCCCCACGATAATATTTATTATGCAAAATTTATTGTACAAAATGTGCAATGAAGCAAATCAAATAACCACGTGAAATGAGCTGCTTTCAGTGTTGGACAACACTAGAAGTTGTCAATTAGCCAGAGAGAGAGAGAGAGAGAGATAGAGAAAGGGAGAGATAGAGCGAGAGCCACTGGTCACTATTTATTCATAGACATATCTGAAAGTACAATAATTGTTATTGTTCATTGGGGCTGACACGACACCTGCTCTCAGCCAATCTGACGACGGCACACGCATTCGCATCTGGATTGTGTTCCGTTTCTTTGATTTCATCTGGGAGCTGTGACAGCGCTGATTGCTATAAATACGAAAGAAAACAAACAGACGCGCACACACACTCGCGCTGCAGGCGAGGGTCTGTCATAACTCTTGCTAAATGCTGCCGGCTGACAGCCTGAAGGAGGCGTATTGAGTTATATTAGCTGTTTATTAATGGCAGCTCGAAGCGTTTAAGTCAAATGCCCTAACGCAATTAGAGTTGCCATAAATGTGTTCTAATTTTGAGAAGTGTGGAGACTTAACCTTAAACTTATTTCAACTCAGTTCAGTCTCTTTTGTAGTATATAATAAAAATACTAAAATTGTATAAGTCGAATTTGTTAAGATTTTTGACTGACTTAACATGAACAATCTCTTATGAGACTCGCCAAAGGTTATAGCATAACGAATGCCAGCAACTGTTGCTGCTTGAGTGCTGCAACATGTTTGCAAAATATATTTCACTTTCACTTGAATGCTTGTTCAGATCCTTAAAATTGATGGGAAATCAAATTAGTTGAGGAATTGTTTATAGCAAAACTTATGGCAGCAACTGTTGCTGTTGTTGGCGTGGGCTGCTTGCTTGCTGTTGCTGCTTCTTCTTGCTGTTGCTGTTGTTGCTGTTGTTGTTGTTGGTCGTGTGGGTTGCTGCCTCAATTAAGAGCAGGCACATTTGAAATTTATTCGATTTGCTTAGCTGCTAAACACTATTATTGCTGTTGTTGTTGTCTAATTTACTCACTCGAGAGAATAACAACGCTCACACACACACACACACACACACACACACACACACACACATACGACACTCACACTCTCTCTCTTTGCATCTGTATCCAAATCTCAAAGAATCGTTTCTGCCAATTTGAATTTCTTTCGCTCAGTCGCAAACGAACAACGAACCATCGAAGTTGAGAATTCTTTTTGAATTTCAAACGCAAAAGGAAAAACTTTTGCTGCGATCGCGCGCGCGCGCTGCCCCTCGAACGAACAATAAAAAAACAAAAATAAAATAAAAATTAAAATACAACTACGAAAATAAATTTCGAAAAGCAACAAAAGAAAAACGAAATTGCAAAAATAAAAGAAATAGAAAAATTTGGTGTGTTTTTCGCAGCGCGTGCAATTGCCAAAACGAATTTGAAACAACGAATGGAAATTAAGAATTAAGAGAAACAAGGAAAGCAAAAGTTGAAGGAAAAGGAAAACAACAAATTCTTTGCGCTGCATGCCGCATATGTATATGCTACTATATATATATACATACATATATATGCACACAATAAAGTTCATATAGAGGCGTGGCCCATGCAAAGAAGTGTGCAAAGCGATAATTAACATAATCGAAATATATATAGAATAATACACAGATGTACCTAGCGTATAGTACATAGATATATAAATATAAATACATATGAATATATATATATATGAAGCTCTTTATGTATGTACAACAGCAACAACAACAACACAATTATATAACACGCGCAATTTGGCTGCAATTAAGAGCAGTTTTTCTTTTGTAAACTGTTATTAATTATAATTGTTTATTATTTTTTGTAATTACTGTTTGAAAGAAGAAAGAAAGCAAAAAAAAAAAAAACGTTGTCAACACGTGCTATTTGTAGTTTGATAATTAAATTTATTATGTTTGCATTGGCCGAGTTGAACTTAAATTTCGAACCCTTGCGAAATTGGCAAACGCTGCTGGTGGCGCGTCTCAAGCCGCCGGAAAGAGGCTAAGATAGCAGCAGCAACAGCAGCAACAACAACAACAACGACGAATTTAAAGTCCAAAACGAACGAACAAATAACTAAACGAAAGGCAAACGTAAAAGCCAAAACGCGAAACGAACGAACTATATATATATATATATATATGATAGATATATATATATCTTTTGGCGCCCAACAACTCAAGAGCAACGACTACAACAACAACCACAACAAGAACGACAACATCATTACAATTGAAAGCTTTTCCAAGAAAAGTTCGCTGTAAATATTTAATTTAACACACAGAAAATTCGCAACAGCTGTTGTTAGTTTTTTAAATTAAGTATATATAGTTTATTTATACACATATTGTTTGTTGTTCACTTATATTGTTAAACGACCAGAAGCCAATACGAATTTTCAAAAGCTAGTCACAAAAAGAAAACAAAAAAGCCAATCAACATTTAGTTAACTGTGCGTATGCGTTATATTTGATACGTATACTTAATATTTATTAAGCGAAACACACTAGTCTATAAGCCACGCGCGTCATGATGAAAAATCTCAATGGTAGAGCGCATAATGTGTGCTACCAGCCCTACTATCAGCAACAGTTGCAGCATCAGCAACTGCACCAGCAGCAACATCAGCAGCAGCAACAACAACAACAGCAGCAGCAACATTTGCAACAGCAACAGCTACAGCTACAGCTGCCCTATGCAGCACAATACAACCAGCTGCAGCAGCAACAATTGCAGTACAATCAACAACAGTACTATCAGCAGCAGCTGCAACAGCAACAACAACAACAGCAGCAACAGCAATTGTTACGTCAGCAACAGCCCACGCAGTCAGCCTACCAGCAACAAAATGCAAAGCAATCATATGGTCATAATAACAACAACAACAGCAACAACAACGCCAACATGGCGCGCAGCAATATGCACGCAACAACAGTTGCTGCTGTGAATGCTAACGGCAATAGCCACGCCAACGCCGCCAACGCCAACACTGCGACAGCCGCGATGGCAGCCATGTGCCAAATGCAAAGCTTTTTAAGCCAGCAGCAACAACAGCAACGACAGCAACAGCAGCAACAGCAACAACAATACAGCAATAATTCTGCGCATATTAATTATAACCAACAACAACAACAGTCGCAGCAACAACAACAGTCGCAGCAACAACAACAGTCGCAGCAACAACAACAGTCGCAGCAGCAACAACAACAACATTTGCCAACGGTAGCAACAACAAATGGCGATAAATTAACATTGGATAGTGCCAATGAAATTGCAAATTTTTTGGCTAATGAGCTTTTTATGCAGCAGGTACGATAGCTCGATAACAAGCGATTAAGGATCGAACTGACTGAAATAGGCGTGCCAATAGTCCAGGGGCATCAAAACTCCTGTGTAACTGCTTTTTTGCATTATTATGGTCACACGAACTATTTGCTGTGTATATCGATTATTAATATATCGATATATGTATTGAATGCGTATTTATTTTTGAATATGATTATTTGTACATTATTTTTCACGTGAGATGGGAAATGAGTTCACCTTGCTATCGATAATAATCGATGATTGTTGTTAAAATGTATTTTAGGTGTTCTTAGAGAAATATCGATCACTTTTTATTTGTGGGCCGAATATAATTAGTACTTTTTGTATACTACAAATAATGAATTATCATGTATTAATTGAAATTCCCTCGTTCTCTTGCAGCTCGTTACATTTGATGGCATGCAGAGTGCACCGACGCTGACAACGCCAACGCTGACGCCGACTACGCTGCGCACCATTGAGGACACGATCTATGAGCTGACCACAGACTCGCATGTGCCTTTCCAGGCGGGCTTCAAGCCGCCGCCTCTCACATCCCTGGGCAACATAACGAACAACAACACGATCACGTCCACAACGGCTGGCGGCGCCACATTGCCGGGGATCAATGCGAATCTGATCAATACGAATCCGCAATTCGATTTGATTGCCCTGAACTGTGCTGGCAGTGTGCCCGGCAGTGATACGGAGGAGTCCAATGGCTCGTGGAACGAGGGGCAGCTGAACGACGACCAAAGCACAACAGATACTTGTGAGTGGCCCGTGTGCAGCGGCAACAGCTAAATGTACAGCTTAACTAATCTCTATCTTCCGATTGCAGCTAGTGCCGCGACAGACAGCACCTCTTATCAGAATGGCGGCCATATGATGGGCAACGGCTCCAATGGCGGGGTCAATAACTTCGCGGCTGCCCTGTCGGGTGTCAACACTAGTGGACGCGGCTCGGGCCTTGCGGCCAATTCAACTACCTCAAATAGTGCCACGCCGGCGCGTCGCGGCGGCGGACGTCGTCCAAACAAGGCGGCCAACATGTCCCCGGAGGAGGAGGAGAAGCGCCGCATTCGACGTGAACGCAACAAGCTGGCGGCCGCGCGTTGTCGCAAGCGTCGCGTCGATCAGACCAATGAGCTAACCGAGGAGGTCGATGCGCTGATGAAGAAGAGCGAGGATCTGAAGAAGGAGATTGAGAGTTTGACTGCGACCAAGAGTCAGTTGGAGTACGTGCTCCAGACACACAGTTCCACATGTCAGAAGGTGCGCGACGATCTACTCACCGTGGCCACGTGCAATGGCTTGATTGGGCCCACCACGCTGCTCAATGCCTGCAACACCAGCAGCGTCAGCCTCCACAACAGCAACAATAGCAACAACAACAGCAACAGCAATGACAGCAGCAACGGCACCATCACCGGCTTCGATGCCACGCTCAATTCGACCGGACGCAGCAATTCACCGCTGGATCTCAAGCCGGTGCTCATAGATGAGCAGCTGCTGCAGCACATCAAGCACGAGCCGCAGGACGGTGCCATCGATTCGGGCTCATCGCTGGACCAGGATGGACCGACGCCGGCCAAACGCTTTGCGCTGCCCAACATTGCCACATTCAATGCATCTCTGCAAACGCCCACGGGCCCGGCCGCTGGCGCCGCATTGAACACGCCCATTTCGAGCACGGCACCGTCCAGCTTTGCGCACTTCAGCAGCGCCATCAGCAGTCCCACACTGAATGCCCATGCGCTGAACAAGCTGCCCAAGCCGCGTCCCAATACGCTCAATGTGAACGCGCAGCGTCCGTTTGGCGTCGCTGCTGCCGCTGGCGATGGCAAGGCGCCGCCCACACAGATCCAGGGCGTGCCCATTCAGACGCCCTCGACGGGCACCTTCAATTTCGATTCGCTGATGGATGGCGGCACCGGACTGACGCCCGTCTCTGGGCCGCTGATGCCCACCTGCTCCTCGCAGAACAAGCATCCGCTGGAGCTGCCAACGCCCACAAGTGAGCCGTCCAAGCTGGTTAGCTTATAACCAGTGTAGGGTGCGTGGCGGTGGCGCGCCTCACTAGCGACAGTCAAACATTACATTTAGTTTAATGCGTGTGTGCAGCGTGCAACGTGCCACATGTGGCAACCATTTATGTGCGTCTGCAAATTATCATAAGTAGAGTCAAACATTACATTTAGTTTAATGCGTCAATGCTGAATGCCACGAAAGCAAGTCAAACATATAACCGTTAGTCGAATGCGTGCATCCAGCATGCAGCATGCAACATGTCACATGTGGCAACAGCTATGTTAATGTTCATATACATAAATTAACGTTTACATTGAACGAACGCTAATTAATTAAGATTTTTACGCAATGTTTTCTCTTGTTTTGTAACGACGATTATGTTTATTGTAGCTCGGCTGCCACGCCCCCAGTCTTGGGGTGTGCCTGGCTGTCTTATTTAATATTTTACATTGTTTTTTCCCCCCGTTACATGTATAACTGCTTTTGTATTATTATCTTTATTATGTTTAATTTATGATTTGCTATCAATTATCTATAACTACTTATACATATACCATATAGAATATACATACATATATATACACACATACATATATATATGTATATACTATACTTGTATTTTTTGTGCAATTTTTTCAACCATTTTGATTTGCGTGTGTTTTCAAAAAATATACATACATAGAAATATATACATAAGTATATATATACATATATATTTAAAGAATGCCTAAAAAATTTGAACGAAATGTAAAAATGCTTTAAGTAAGGATTGAAGTTGAGTTTGGCAAAGAATGTTTGTTGTATATGAAGGATGCGTTGTGATATTTATTATTAACAAGTTAAACAAAACAAAAGAGTAAATAATTAAATAAATTAACTACAAATAAATCATATAAAGAAAGCATTAACAGAGCGTGTAATGAAACGAACTATGCCGGTTTTAAAATTGTACATTTAAACATTAATAAATAAAATAACGAAACACAAAACAAAATATAACTTATAAAATACAAAATACTAAATACGTTGCCTTGATAAAAAGTAAATAGGGAATATGAAACAAATGATATAAATATAGTTTGCAAATGAGAGAAAAATGAGAATTTGAATTACTATATATATATATATACTATATACTTTATACTATTTAAGACTTAAGGCACAGTAGAAAAACAAAAACACAACAACAAAGAAAACAAAAAACATAAAAACCCAAATATATTTTTACTAAACGCAAAATGCGCTCTATTTTCAAATACAATTTATAAGAAATGACAAAACAAAACGCAAAGCAATTATTTAATATGTAATTATGTGTATTACGCAATAAAAAAAAAAAAAGTATATATATATATATATATATATACATATATATAGATATATATTTGATTATAAATACGAGCAAATGCAAATCAGGCAAACATATTTGATATAGCCTTACGAGTAAATCCCCCTGAAACTCTGAAACTGAAAACTCTCTGCAATAAGCGAATTCTTTTAACTTGAAGAAAATCACAAAATTGTAAACAGAAACAGAAAATTGAATGCACTTCCCAAATGGAGCAATACAACCAAAATTGTGTAAGAGAAATAAAATATAAAACAGAACAACCTTAAAAGCAAATTGTCTTCTTTATCCAAGAGAGAGTGAGAGGGACCGGGGGAGTTCAAGATCAAGGTATGGATTCTACCTGCCGGAACGGATGTGTCTGAAACAATTGAAATCGCATAAGATTACAAAAACGCTGGCTCAGCGCACACTGAAATATGTCAGGTAAATTAGGCTGGACCAAAAAAGTGAATAAGAAAGGTAAAGTATCTCGGCATAGCTCAGATATAGTAGCAGATATACGAGTGCGGCTTTAGCTAATATGGCAAAGATCTCCAAGGCTGGTTTTTATGAAATGTGGCAGAAGATTGTGGGTGGGTATTAAAATTCAGCTATATTTCCATAGAACTGGATACTGACTTAAACTGGATATGGAGATATTGAGTGTGTATAAATAAATTTTTAATTTATTACAAAGAGAAATAAAATTAAAAATAATTAATCTCAGATGATGATTTAACATTTAGTATATGTTTGTATATCTCCCTGAAACAATATAAAAATGCCCAACAAAAATAATATAATTATAAAGAAGATATTTGAGTGTGCAAACCAGCTGAGGTGCTACGACTAGGGTTTTTTATTCTTTTATTTCTTTTTGGCAACAGCCTAATGCGCAGGTAAGACTCTAAAGAAGCGAGTCGCAAGCAAATGGATCTATGTATAAGTGTGTTATACTGAAATATATTTATACATACATACATATATATATCGCTGAGCTACAGATAATGCCGACGCATACATAGAAGTGCATATATGTATGAGATGAATTAAAATTTCGGGTTCGCTTTGCATGTTTATATTTTATTCGTTCTTTCCCCTTGATTTTTTATTTTGCTGGGAGTTTTTTCGTCAGTTTATCTGGAACCGCCGATATGGGCAGCCGCAATCAACTGCTGAACGCCCTGAAACGCTGCCTGGGCATGGGTCGACGCCAGCTGAGCGTTGGGCCACATCAAGTGGTGCTGGTGACGGGCTGTGACTCGGGCTTGGGGTAAGCTGACCTCGTGCATACATATGCATACACATATATACGTTATTTCTATATATATTGCTATGCAGTCACTCTCTGGCTGTCTACTGCTATAGGGTGCTGCATATGACAGTCATCTCCTGCTGCCACAACTTGGAGTCGCAGGGCGCCCAGCTGCTGCAGCAGATGAGCAGCGAGAATGAGCGACGACGCATGCACATCTGGCAGCTGGATCTGCTGGAGCCGGAGTCTATAGTGCAGCTACATGCCAAGCTGGAGCAGCTCTTGGCCAGCACGGACTGCCATCTGATGGCGCTGGTCAACAATGCGGGCGTCATGTGCTTCGGCGAATTCGAATGGCAGCTGCCGGCGCAAATCGAGCATCAGCTCAACTGCAATCTGTTGGGCACCATGCGTCTGACCAGGCAACTGTTGCCGCTGCTGCGGCAGCAGCGAGCGCGCATCATCAACGTGACCAGCCACTGTGGCTTCCAGGCGCTGCCCGCTCTGGCACCGTATGCTGCCACTAAGGCCGCGCTGCGGGTTTGGAACGATGCACTGCGCATCGAGCTGCAGCCGCATGGCATGGAGGTGATCAACTTTGTGCCCGGCTCCTTTGTGCTGGAGAGCAACATCGCCGCACGCCAGCAGCAGCAGGCACAGCAGCAGTTAGAGGCATTCAGCGCGGAGCAGCTGGCCTACTATGGCAGCTACTTCAAGGTATTCCATGAGTACCTAAGCATGCTGAGCGGATTCAAGAGACCCAATCAGCTCCAGGACGAGGCATTGCTGGCGAAGTTCAAGGATGCGCTGACTAATGCTCAGCCGAAGACGCTGTATATACACGAGCCCTGGCGCTATAAGGTCTACCGTTGGCTCTTCAAGCTGACGCCAACTCCCTTGACGGATTGGCTGGTGCTCCGGTTCTGTGCCATGCCCAGCTTCGAGTCCGCGCAACGAAGTTAGGTTTAAATAGTTTATTATTCCTAGTAATAATATTGTAGCTCATTCTTATGAAGTTGGCTGGGTCTTTAAATAGAAACTGTTTGGATTTGGCACAAGCTCCCATTACATTCCTAGACATTACAAATACATAGACACACAAAGACAATCACATTAATAGTTGGCAGGTCGGGCATCAATCTTAAGTAGCTAATAGCCGGTGCTGCGACATCTCTCGTAGACTGCATCGTTGAGCAGCTGGAACCATTCGCTGGCATAGACCGAGTCCTCGGCAGCTCGGAACAGCTGCAGCTTATCCTGGGCCGGCAGCGAGGCGCACAGATAATAGCTGATCGCTGTCTCGGTGAGCTCCGCATGGTAGTTCTTCAGGGCCCACTCCAGCAAGCGCAGGCAATTGCGCGAGTCCAGGAACTGTATTAGCCGCTCGTGCAGCAGCGCCTCCAGCTCTGGTATTATGTACACTCGCGACATCTCGAAAGCCTGCAACAGGGCGCCATAGTCTGGCATGACCAGATGCCTCTCCTGGCAGCTAATCAAGTGGAGGAAATACCTCAATCCGTTGGCCGTATAGTCGCGCAGCTGGATCTCGCCGTCGTGGCCCTCGCGGAAGTCGCTATTGAGCATCTTGTTGAACACCTCGCTGGTCTCACAGAGCAGCTGCTTGTTGAAGCCAATGCTGAGCGTCGTCCGGCTTTCCGCATCCTTGCCATCTACATTCTCGCTGGGCAGTAGAAACCGCATATCACAATGCTCATGCAGTGGTATATTTGTGGCGTTCATCTGGTTTAAACAGATGCTGCTGCTGCTGTCCACCTGCTCCGGCTTGGGCAGCACAATGCCCAGCGTAAAGCGTGACATGGCCGTCACAGCATCCGCCGCCTCGTCTGCATACAAATTGTCGCTCTTCTTGCGCAGCAGCAAGTCGAAGAGCAGAGTCAGCGCATTGCCGTCATACAAGAACTGATAGAGCAGCCGATGGCTTTTAATGATGTACGCCACGGATATGGCCGCCCGCTGCTGTGCATTCAAATCTGATTCGCAGCGCAGCAGTCGCACCAGCTCCTCCTTGCCATAGTTGGACTCACCCACATTCGTGAGCGTCTCCAGAAAAGCAAAGCCATCCTTGCGCATCTGCAAGATTATTTAAATGAGATTACCGGAAGATCATAGTGGGAATCGGAATGGGTTTGTTCGTAAGAACAACTCAATTCGCTAAGGGACTTGTAATACCTCCTCCACTTTGGTCAGTTGATAAAGCTGATGCACAACGCCATGCTTGATGATCTGGGCAAAGAACTGGCTTTCGCTGTAGAAAGATTTAAAGGATTACCGAATCATTTCACCATACAGGCCACATCCAAACTTACAGCAATATATTGGTCAACGCATTGGCAAAATTATTGTTGGCTCCAAAGAGATTGATGGCTCGTATTAGGGTGTCCAGTGTTTCCGGCTTGCCCAGCTCCGGACGCTTATTGATCATCAGCGTAATGCGGTAAATTAGATTCTCAATGATGTCGATGGTGTCGCCTGCTTGACTGCGCAGCTGAGCCAGCTTCGGCGGCACATCAGAGCTAAGCTCTTCCATGTCCTCCTTGTCGGACAAGGTGTCGTCAATTGTTTCACTGCCCTCATCGATGAGCTTAAGTATGTCCATGACATTGGCCGGCTGTGCACGATTCGAAGCTATGCGAGATTCGCGTGTATCCATATTGCCACTGCTCGCCTTGCTATCGTCCTCGTCGTCATCGTCGTCACTGCAGGCGGGCGAATAGTTCTCGTCGTCATCGTTGGCAAAGAGATTGGAGCAAACGGGCGACATGCTGCGTGAGCTGCACGGACTGGTGGTGCGATAAGAGCGCGGCGAGCTACTGGGCGAGTCAAAGTCCAAGTTGAGTGGCTCCTGGGTTTTCGAGAACTGACACAGAAGTGGAGAGAAGCTGAGTGCTTAATGAATATATACAAATATATATTTCTAAATACCTTGCTGAGAGTTTCTGGTGTCGTGGGATCAGTTAACTTTCGTTTTTTGCCACCCTGTATACGCTCCTCACGCCGTCGCTTATGATACTCCTCATCACTGGTCAGATAATCATTTAACTCACGCACCAGCATCGGCACCAAACCCTCATACAGCAGCATTTCCATGCTCAGATTATCGTATTGAAAGTTGTTCAGAATGTGAAAGAGCTAAAAGATAATATTATAGCAAAGATATGAATATATAAATGGTTATTCAACATACAGATGAACGCTCGCTCTGTGAATGTGAGTCCCGTATCATGGCCACCAGCTTGCGTAGTGCACCGCAGCGCCGTATCTTGGAGCGGCTGCAGGCATCCACCGACAGTGTTGCTATAATATTCACGCAATGTCGGCTCTCGCTCTCCGACAGCGGCTTGGCCATATTGACGGCCATGAGCAGCTCACAGGCAGCCACAATGGCGTCGGCAGTGCTGAGCATATAGAATGCATAGGGATCCTTGCAGAAGTTCGATAGAATCTTAAGGGCCGAGGCGCGTTGCTCACTATCTTCCTTCACGAAATATACAATGGGTGCCAGAGAAGTGTTGCGTGAAAGCACCTAGAATATATAGAAATGGATTAAGATAGGCAATAAGCATAATATCAAACTCTCCATACGCACCTCCCAGGCTTTCATGCCAATTTGCTGAGCCGAGAGCAGCATGAGACACTTCAGGATCTCATAGGCCAGCTCGATGGCATCGTTCTCCTTGGGCAACAC